GAGCTATTGCACGCGTCTGGGATTTGCAGACTAAATCATAATTCAGCAGAGTCTAAAAAGTTTACCAACTCTGCATTCTGCGTCAAGGCACAGTCATTTTTTAGCTATGTTGTCTTGTTCTCCTTGACTTTATCCTAAAATAAGGCCTTCACGACCTGATATTTCACTATAGAGTGAGCTGCATGACTAAGAGAATCATTTTAGGAAATCAAAGCTTGTAAATTTTGGCTTGTGCTGGAGAATCACTATACATGGACTAAGTGGATAGCTTAGTATAGGTGCAATCCATTATGTCCCATCACCACCATGTCCCTGATCTGCTGGTCCAGGAACAGTGTTGTTCCTCCAGCTTCGTTAGTGCTTACTGTGACAAAGATACTTTGGGGCAATGACAGGCTGGTGTTAAGAGAGCTTTCTTAGCCTTGTCACAAGGAGAAAAAGGGATTAGAAGCGGATGTAGTGGAGATGAGAAGACAGCAAGAGAGAAGTAGTGAAGGGAAAATTCCCAGCAGCATGGATAACAAACTCCATCATGGTACCAGAATGAATAAATGCAATAACATTGCAGACCATAGAAGTTCTAGGTAGGATAAAATACACTTGTACAGAGGGCGATGCTGTTTAATTGTGCAATCAGTCAAAAGAAGCTATGCAGGAATAAAAAGAGAAGAACAGATCCTTTTGTCTAGAAGAACAGATCCTTTTGTCTAGAAAAGAAGTCTGATTTAAGAATGGGTTTTCTGGAGTCTGCCCTGTTGCCCAGACTGATGAGAACAGAAGCAGGGAAAAGCAAAGGCATGCTCGTTATTGAACTGGACTTTTTGCTGTCTGTAGAGTAATTGCAACCAAAAAGCCATAAAAAAATACATGTGCTTTTCATGTGAAAAATTAAGGTATTTCATACCATATGCCTGCAAGCTCAAAATGCCTGGATGCTGCCACTCTAAGAAAGAGGGTGTATGCTGAGATGCAGATTTACTCCAGGAAAACTTTGCCCCTTCAGGGTGGGAGGCACTGTTCCCTCCTGGAAACATTTTCCTCTTTCTTCTGGTTACACATTGACAAGAGGCAACAAGACTTAAATAAATAACTCCTGGACATCTGTGCTGAATCAAACTCTAAATAAACACAACTTTTCACAGTGGGAAACAGTTTTAAGACACTTTAACCAAGGTATGAAAATAACCACCTTAAGAGATCTCAACGTTTCTCTGTATTCATACCTGATGAAGAAAATAGCTCCTATTTCAGTAGTACCTAAATCCTTTTGGTAGTAGGGAAAAAGTGACTGTAAACCTTTATTACATGATCTTCAATATCAGAACGACTTACTTGTAGTATTCTTTGCTATATTAGACTGCATGAGTTGGGCAATTAACTAGAAACAAATATTTAGTCTCATTTTCCCTTCAGTTTTAGGTAGAACTGTGTTTCCTCAACAGAAATTGGTAAGTGAATTCTTTATTTAAAGGCCATAGAAATTTGCACCATATGCCAAAGGAAAATGTTTATATTTGGATCTATTTTGTAGATAAACTGCCCTTGTAAATAGACCGATTCCCTGTCCCTGCTGCATTCTCCAGGGATGTTGGGAGGCAGCAGGGTTTGATTAGTCCTTAACCCACATGTTTATAATCTCTTTGGGCACATTTTTTTTGGAAGATTTGACCTTGCATCAGAGATATGCACAACAATCAAATGCAGAAAGCAGGACAGAGTGTAGAAAGGGGACATACGACTTTGCTATGCATTGGCACAGGCTTAATCCAGATTGCAGAAAACTTCCAAAGCCTCAGAAACATCGTAGGATGGACTTGTTCAATAGACTCTCAGCCTGGTCGAACCCTCTGAGCTCTTCTTTTAAGCTCACTCACAAAATAGCTTTCTTTTTCCTTCATAAAATGCCTTCTGCAGCCTCTTTCATAGAGATACAGGTGCTGCCCCTGCAACTCCATGGTAGCTGAGCATGGCAACGCACCGTTACGGCAGGGTAAGATTTGATGTGCAGATATTACTTTACGATTCTGTGATGTCCCCCAACAATTTAGGCTGAAAGGAGCCTCTGGAGTCTCTGATCCAACCTCTTCTCAAAGCAGCAGCAGATTAGATGAGGTTGTTCAGGACTTTACCCAGTCTCCATCTCTAAGGAGCATCTCTATTGCAGTGTCTGACCAGCCTCCGGGTGAATTTTTTCCCACTATCTGGAAATTTCCTCATTGCAACTTGTGTCCATTGCCTGTCACCCTCATACTGCACACATCCGAGAAGCTGGGCTGCATCTTCCCTCCAACTGAGTAGTAAAAGATAGTGATTTGGCAACCCCCTACCCTTACCTTTAGCTTTTTCAGGACTGAGCACATCAGGTTGTCTCTGTCTCTTCTTGTACATCCTTGAAGTCTATCAAAATGTGCGACCTGGTATTATTCCATGGCCTTATCCGCTGGGCTGTCAGCCCGCCAGCAAGGTTTATTATTACTGGAACAGGGAGGAAGGCCTCCATGTGAAGGCCTCTGGAAGATGACTGCAGACACTGTTATCTCTGCAAGAAATTCAGGTCTAAACAGAGTGAACTTACAGGGCTATCTTCTCTCTTCTGCCTCCTTAAGGCCAATTTAAAGTAGGTCTGATGCTGAAGGTCACTTCTGGATAGCGTGGCTCTTCCGTGCATGCCAGGGAAGTGGGCACCAGGGTCTCTGCCCGCTGCAAAGCTGAGACGCCCCTGCGAGATGGGACTCTGCCACAGGCAGTGGCTTGCCCTTGAAACCTCAGCTGAAGAGCAGCTTTGTCATTTGCATCCAGGATGCACATGCCTGATTCTGTAGCAGTTCCCCTTTGGTACCGATCCCTGCGGCATGATACTCGCACAAATCTGACTGGCAAGATCTTCCCCTTATTCCCAGGGGCATGCAGAACTATCCAAGTATGCAGGCATTGCCTCACTTTTGGAATACATGGTGATCTAAAAGGGGAGAAAGGGCTAGGAGGGTATTTGAAAAATAGTTTGAAAAATCAGGTAGAAAAACTGTGAGGCTGTAAAGAGCCAACAGCAAGAGACAGGGTTGGAGAACAAGAGATTTCAGCTCTGTGATGCTGCTCATTCCAAATGCCTGCAGTCCTGGACCCCTACTGACCTTCATTTCTTTTGCCAGTGCTCCGTGCCACTTCAAATCTGGCTCCAGATGTACTCCACTAGACATCCAGATCACAGGAGCTGCAAATGAGTGGCCTCTGCAAACATTTCTGGTTTAAGATGTTTATTCTGTCTTATAAAACAAACCTAAAGAACAGCTTGATCGAAGGCTGCGGTTTGTGCGATTACCTTCAGTAGGGTTCACATGTCCTTCAGCTCCACCTGCCCTCTTATCCTCCATCCCCCGGCTTCAGTGCCATCGGAAAAACAGAGCAGATGATGACAAAATAAACCCTTGTGCTTATACACTTTTCGAGCCAAGGTACTCAACAATGGTGTAAAAGAAGCCATCACAAGTCAGCTCAGCAGTGCAATTTCCACCACAATTGTTTCAGCTCCAGCAAACATCCCTGAGTTTCTTAAGATACCTTTCCTCCTTAAAGATTTCCTTTATAATTGTAACAACAACGTCCTTTCCAGCATCTCATTTTGTTGCTTTAAAATGAAAGCTGAGTCTCGGGAGCCTGAAGGTTTTTCTGCCTCAGCTTTTACTGAGCAGTGCCATAGTGCCACTGATTTACACACCGCATTTATAACAAAAACCAAATGTGCACAGAGGGGTTTTAGCCATTTTAAATAGATGAATTCTGTTCACACTTTTGCTTGACCAGCATTATATAAAGATTAAAAACCAAGTATTGTTAAACTCCTGCTAGGGAGAACAGTTCCGAGTAAATACTCATACTGCAGCCTATTGACACAGACAAACACCAAGGGACATCAGCTCTAAATAACACATCAACAGACTTCTGCCCTGAAGAAAAATTCCTCCTCCCCACACACACACAGACTGGTGGGGGACAGAGAGATGATGCAAGGAGACAGAATTAATAAGAAAGAGGAAGACTAGGTGGCATAGCTGGAGATTGTGCTCGATGCTACAGAAAAGGAACCATCAGGGAGGGAGGGAAGGAGGGAGGGAGGAAGGAGCTCCTCGTTGTTATTAAGGACCATCATCACCAGGTGACAGCAGGTGGGTGGTAGAGCCATGTGCTTCCTCATGGGGAGGCAAGGCCCACCTCTCAGGAAGAAAATTGGATGAGGAAGGGATGAGACCATGTTTCTGTTACCTTGGAGGGCAAGGGTTTATGCTGCTCTATGCTACCATCTTCTGAGAGCAAAGTGCTCTCGGGCGGTGCCCGTGGCTCCTGCCCGCTCCGTCAGCTGTGCTGATCCATGGGCAGAGATCAGGGCACCGAGTTATTTATGCACTGCCACAAACCTGTGCTGTGCCCTGAGAATCCACGCGTCCTGACTGGGGATGAGTTTGCTGTGCGAATTCACTATGTAGTGAAGGAAGAGGCTCCCTTGGCAGGGAGCACAGGGTGTTACTTTGGTTTCTAGCGATTCCATTGCTCTGCATTTAGAAGCAGTGGGCCAGAACTGCCCACACCTCCAGAGGGTAGCTGGTCTCCCTGTTGGCTCATGCAGCTTGTTTCTGTATCTGCCATGAATACATTGAGTATTCATGTATAACTCATACACATGAGTTGCAGACAAACTTGGTAGGACAACCACGTGGAATAAACAAGGGACAGTTTTCCATGTCTGGCTGCCCAACGTAAGGGAGCCTGGGAGTAATGCCCAACACAGGTAATGCCACGGAACAGAGGGCTTAGAGGAAATGTATTTAAGCAACTAACAATTACCCGAAGCACTCATTGGTCTCCATGGAAGCAGAGAACAGTCTTTGCTAACAACCTTTCCTGATCTCCTCAGAAGTTTGCTGAAGGCCTTATGAGATATTTATAGCACATTCGATGTTTACTCCTCCTTTTTCTCTCTTCAGCCTCAGCGTGAGCTGCCCCTGTCCGGTGGGCATTGCAGGAGGCTGTTCACAGCTTTGAGAACTGAACTAGGTGTCGGCCAATCTCCGAGACGCTGGCACAGCCTGAAATAAATAGAGAAATGAAACATCTTGGTGAGAGAGAAAGATCTGTGGATGAAACTTGTAAGGCACCTCCCTGAATCATGGTCTAGACATGTATGAGCCACGTGGAGATAGGTTGGTGCTTCAGCAGCTCACCCGCAGGAGCCCTACTCCTCAATGGCATCTTCAGCCTTGAGGCTAGACAATGGGCTTCCCACACAAGAAAAGGTAGAAACATGAAGAAAAAAAAGGGTCCTTATAACAAGCTGAGCTGGGAGCCACCTGAACTAGTCAGAAGTGAAAGGTAGACGGAAAAGACACAGGGACTGCCGTGTGTCAAGTGACCGGAGGTGCGGGGTTGCGTTGTAATTTCATTTGGTCAAATCTAGGTGGAATTTCACAGCCCTGTCAAAAACATCCCAAACTGCCACTCTTGCCGAGTTCAGTGCCCTTTTGCATGTAAAGAAGTGTGAGAATCTCCTGGAAAAGTAAAAAAAAAAAAAACCACCCCCACCCCAAAAAAAAAACCAAAACCCACACCTTTTAGGAATCTGTGCTATTTGAAAAAGTAACCCAAAAACCAGCCTATTAAGAAATACCCAATGGGAATTAAGCTCCAGTCTCCCAGTCAATGTTGCTATCCACTTGAGTTCATCGTCATTAGCGCATGAAAATCTTTAAAACGTTATTTGAAGTGGGATAAGACCCTTTGCTGATGTCTGAATACTTCCCCACTGGATCTGCACGTCTTGCTTGTTCATGTGTGAAACTGGAGTTTGCACCGGGCTGTGCAAATTTGCTGTTCGGTGAGGGGGGTCAAGCATGGCAGCGAGGGGCAGGAGCAGAAGTGAGAAACGCAGAATGAGGAACAACAGAGAAAGCTTGGAGGAGACACAGAGCATGGGGGACGCAGAGGTTTGAACCTGCACCAACAGACTGTATTCTCTAATAAGCAGAGAAAAATTCTGCATCCATTTTTTCCCAGCTTTTCACACAGCAAAATAATCTATAGCATTTAAATGGTAAATATTAAATTAAATACTGGAAAACATGTGGTGCAATTCCCAGCAGGACAGAAATTCCAAGTTTTGCTCAGATCTGCTCTGCAGTTTTGCATCTCATTAATTGGGTCAGAAAGCTGCTTTAACCTACTTCCTCCTCCCAAGCTTCATTTGCTATGGCACCTGAAATGCCAAGTGGTTTCAGAGGAAGCAAAGGATCACCTTAAATATATCAATCAATCAGAACCAGCGCAGCTCACATGGATTCCCTTTTCGTGACGCATCCATCTGACTTCAGGCAGCTTGCATGTAGAAATCTCTCTATCACCAATTGCAACCTGAAAAACGCTTACCAGCTAACGCCATCGACAGGCGAAACTCATCCTGCAGAATTCTCAAGACGCCTCGAAGACCTTCTTCGCCCTGCCCCAGCAAAGAAAGCAGTCAGGGTCAAAGGAGCGCTGGCACCCAGCAGTGCTGCAGGATGCTTGCACTTGGAGAGTGGGGACAGTCCCGTAAGGCCGTGCCAACTCCAGTCTCTCACACAGATCCGTGATTAAAATGGTGTGATGGATGTGCTCAGTCCAGCACTGATTAATTTAGATGCTTTTCCTTTTGTGATACATCTGAACAGGGAAAGAAAACAAAGCTGTTTTTATCCGCTGACATTTTCTAGCTGGTTTTGTTCCTTGCTTTCAGTTAACCTCCACCAATGAGCTTGTTTTAAAATGTCAGGCCTTACAATGCTGACAGTATTTTATGAAGTAATGAGAGTTTTATATACAGTACAGCTTTAAAAACTTTAGTTTACTCAGATACCGGACTGAATCTGTAAAAACACCATGTGTTTCCCTGCAAGTGTGTCCCTGCAAGTGTTTCCCACCAAGAAGCTCAAAATATAATAAAATATACATATATATGATTTTTTTAATATTTCTGTAAAATATTTGAGGATTTTTTTTTCCTCTTACACTTTATTTTTATTTCTTTGAATAAGGAATGCTTTGGGTGCTCACATTGCCAGTGCTTGTTGATGCTCTTCCGCTCTTGTATGCTAGGGTAATGCCACTGAAACACAGCTTTAGGAATAGCCTATGGCATATAATACCAAATCATAGCTAAACTCAAAAAAATCCCATCTCCTTTCTGTTTGCATTGTGGAAAAAATGCAGGCAACTCCTAGCAACACCCTTTTCATGTTGGGCACTTTTTCTCCGTTTATTTGCAACAGAAACAGTGCTGCCAACTCCTCCAGGTTTCTCAGAAGATTCAAGTGTTTTCTTGCTTAAAGCGTAGCTACTGGAATCCACAGGAACCACACCTCTGGGCAGGTGTCTCATTCAAAAGATAGGAAATGTCTCTAGACCATAAAAATAAATATTTTTTCCTCTAGAGAAAACCTTGAAAGCTCCAATCCAAAGGCTAAAAAGCAAAAAATTATCAAAGCAAACAACTGGTATAATTACATTTTAATTGCATTAAGCTAACCTTCTGCATCAGAGGCCTAATCCATGACTCTGGATCATGGAAATACACCAGTAGTTAAGAAGCAACAAAGCTGGATATAGTAGTGGCATGCTCAGGCACCTACAGGGCAGGGTTGTGCTCAGTCTTGTCCAAAATGTCTTAGACATCAGTGGAATGCAGTTCTAGATTTCTGAAGAATTCATAAAACCCTCTATGAAACTGCTGCTTCAAAACCCGATATTGTTTCCAAGTCAGCTGGCAGCCAATGAAATTGTCAGACTCATCTTTGTGGCAAATAAGCCCACCTCCAATTTTCAGAAGCGCTGGTGGTTCCGAGTCCTGCGGTATGTTAGCACCATAGTGCAACACCAAGAAACCAGGCCCCACAAATCAATGTCATCAGCTTCAAAATCATATTTGAAATTGTAAAATTCAGTGGTATTTTTAAATCTTGGATAATGCCTGGGTTTGATTCAATTTGGGATGTTTTCACTGAAAATTCAGAAAAACAAAAGGGCGGAGGGGTAAGATTCTTCACCGGTGAGCTGTCTCTGAACTTTTAAATGATAACAAGTGTTGGAGAGTATGAGAAGCACACATACAAACTCAGAGCTCCTTACGCACCTTGTAAGCCAGACCCCACAAAGCTGGTCTTCCGATGAAGACGCATTTTGCTCCCAGTGCCAGGGCTTTTAATACGTCACTTCCTTTCCGTATACCGCCATCTAAATAAACTTCGACTCTGCCTTGTACTGCCTCCACAACCTCAACCAGTGCATCGATCTGCAAAAAAGCATCCACTTCACCTGGAGGACAGCTTTTGATTCCAAGAGAAAGAGGAGATTATCCAAAGAGACAGACAGGGACGCAATGCTTTAATAGCACACCTTCTCAAAATGAAATGTGACAATGCACCATAAACAGCTTGGCACCAAAAGCTGCAGAATAAAGTGCATCTTCCTGTTCTGTTTGCCAGATAGCTAATTCCATTTTCTAGTGCTTTGCTTATATTCTTATACTGACATACTTTGATAGCAGGTCTGATAATGGTATAGAATGGTATAGAATAGAATAGAATAGGAGTAGAATAGAATAGAATTGTAGAATCGTAGAATCACAGAATGGTTTGGGTTGGAAGGGGCCTTAAAGCCCCCCCAGTTCCAACCCCCCTGCCATGGGCAGGGACACCTTCCACTAGACCAGGTTGCTCCAAGCCTCATCCAGCCTGGCCTTGGACACTTCCAGGGATGGGCCATCCACAGCTTCTCTGGGCAACCTGTCCCACTGCCTCACCACCCTCTCCGGGAAGAATTTCTTCCTGATATCCAATCTAACCCTCCCCACTTTCAATTTAACCCCGTTACCCCTTGTCCTGTCACTACAGGCCCTTGTAAAAAGCCCCCCCCAGCTTCCTTGTAGCCCCTTCAGGCACTGGAAGGTGCTATAAGGTCTCCCCGGAGCCTTCTCTTCTCCAGGCTGAACACCCCCAACTCTCCCAGCCTGTCCCCATAGCAGAGGGGCTCCAGCCCTCGGAGCATCTCCGTGGCCTCCTCTGGACTCGCTCCGACTCATTCCATATATCTACATGCACACTTATTTAAATCACACAATAACTAAGGCTCCCAACAGTCAGATTGTCCAGTGCTATCAGAGTGCAAAGTTGTGACATAAACTCACTACAGTCCAATAAACACGGCCTCAAAACGGAGAATGGAAAATTTCTGAAAAGTGATTACCTGTCAGGCCTCTCAGGTGGGCACTGAGAGGAGAGGAGAGGAGAGGAGTTCCCTGATACCTGTTTTTATTTTACAGAGGAAAACAGAGTAAAAAAAGTCCATAAGGTACTATGCAATACAGAGCTGTAAAATAAGAACATTTGGAAAAACTGACAGAAGCCAAATTAAACCACTGAATTACGCATACATCCAAACAATGCACGATTTCTTTGTACAGATTAAAAAGCAGGGAAATTTTTCTCCAAATAAGTTATCCTTTTTCTGTCTCATGAAAGTCAATAAATTCCCATTTAGACTTGAGTCTGTAAATATGCAAGCAGACCTCTCACTAAATCTAGCTGCATTGTTTGTGCATGTTTTGGCAGACGTGCACAAGGAGAATACATTATGCTCTCATTTGTACATTTTTGGTTCCAGAGCTTTGTTTTATTTTTGCTGCAGTGCGCAAAGAGTACGTGTGCACTGCACCAGCTGACAAAGACATAGGCAGAAAACTTCTGACTACTTGGGCCAGTCGTCCATCTGCCGTGATGTGTGTTCAGCACCGCTAACAGAATCCTCCCAAGAAGCTGAGAAAATAGTTCAGTGGGTAGCCCATGCAAAAGTACGCATCTTACCCGTTTAAAGCTAAAGCACATCTGCACACATCCACAGTCACGCAGCGAACACACAAGCCCACCAGAAGCGTATGTGCAAAGACCAGCACAGAGATACCCAGGTCAGCAACAAAGGTGCATACACTAAACAATCTTGGGTCATCCGTTTTCCTCACTTACAGTGGCAGGCACTCCATCCAGTTGCCTTCCACCGTGATTGGACACAATAATTCCCTGAACCCCGTGTCTTACTGCCAGCTCCGCATCTTCTTTCGTCAGTATGCCTTTGATGATGATGGGCAGGTGGGTCAGGCTCCGCAGCCAGTAGATATCGTTCCAGGTGACCGAAGGATCCAAGCTGTTGGGTGGTAGTCCGTACTCGGAACGGTCATCTCCCTACAGCCATAGGACAGAAGGAAACCCCATCTGACCTGTAACAATGCAGAGGCCCCTTGAAGTCTTTCCCTGCCCTAGAACAGATTAATTAAACTTGCTAACAGACATGTTCATCAGCTCTGGAAAGCATGTGTCTCCGGAGGAGAATAATTACAAAGGGGATGGAGATCTGTGTCTCTAAGGCAGCTGGACTGGGACCTTGAAGCCAGAACTCAGGCTGGCAGGAGGTCAAGCCAGGACACTGTAGAAGCAGAAGGGGAGAAGATATGCCCTGGGTACAGCAGATGCCAAAGCAGCAGTTAGCCAGTGGTTTTTGTCTCATGTGGTACATGCCAAGGCAGTGAATGAAAAGACAGGCTCATCTTACAAACCTCAAAGGCTTCTTCCAAGTTCTTCAGTTTCATGTGGGGTGGTAGGTGGAAACCATTGCGGACATCATCGCGTCTTTTGCCCGTGTAGGGCAGATCCGCGGTTAGGACGAGGCCCTGGAAGCCCAAGGCCTCCGCCCGTTGGACCAGTTGCTGGGAAACCACCCTGTTGCGGTGGATGTAGAGCTGGAACCACTGGAGGCTGCCGGGGGCGGCCGCAGAGATGTCCTCCAGCGTGCAGGTGGAGTATGTGCTGGCAATGTAACAGGTCTTCATCGCCTTGGCGGCTTCAGGAGGAATTGGGAAATAATCAGAGTCAAGGTTATTTCAACAGCCCTGCCAGACACCAGGTGCAAAAGTTTTTTATATACAGTTTACAGAGAACACCTGAACTTCTGATTTACTTATATCCTACCAAACACAGTGCTCTACCAGTTGGCAAATGTGCCTTATGGTTAAAAATTGCTATATTTACCCTGCACTGTCGTAGGATCATGGTTAAGAAAGCAGGAAAGGGAGAGGTAGTTTGCCAAGTGGTGCTTTCATTTTGGAATTTTTTTTTTTTCTAAAGCAGAAAATTTATGACTATGTGCTCACAAGAATGCGCTGTCAAAGGCACTCAGTGTACACAGAAACACACGCAGGAAAAAAGATGTCTCCAAGGGTCAGCTCTCCAAAGCCACCGCAGGATTTGGGAAGAGAGGTTATGCTTTTCTCCAGCGGAGACACTATTCTTACCAGTAACAATGCATTTACAGGCTGAGTCTCATCCACCACTTCTATGATCTATCTAGAGCCCACAGCACTGAGGACCTGTGTGGTCCTTGGTGTACACCAGATAACATGTCCACAGTCTGCAGCAGCCTCCACAGAGTTGATCTCGTAATAGCAGTAGCTGGAGAAGTCGAGCAATGTCTACTGTGTGTCACCAGACACAAGTGGGTCATCCACAAAAAGGGGTGTCAGAAAGTGGGAAAGGAGTTTGCCCATTCAACCCCGAAGATTTTGCTTAATCGCACTTCAAGCCAGCCTAACAACTTCTTGAGGCTTTTCCACAAGCCCCTTTTTGTCACACAGCAGAAAAGCAGAAGAGTACCTCTGGCTGTGCTTTTCTCTCCGTCAGGCCATGCTAGCTGGTGGAAGCCAGTAGGGGCAATTCCTACAGGGAAGCTGATTTCAGTCCCTAGGAGCTTAGTCCTAATGTCCATCACTGATACATCCCGCAGTATACGTGGCCGGAGACGAAATCTGTAAGGAAAAAAAACCCTTCAGGATGGTAGCTGTTCAGTGGTTTTTCTGAAGTTTCATGGAAACCAGGTCTTCGTCTACCTATTGCAATGTAGGAATCTGAGCAAATAAGGAAAGTAGCATGTAACAAAAGCTCTTTGTCTTTTCTGTTTGCTTTTAGAGGTCAATTCAACCAGCAGTTCAGCCATTTCCACTTTTCATTAATCTCACACTGCTGTTTACTGGCCACAGGACATAATTTCTGCCTTTCCCACCTCAGCTCACCGGCTCTTGTTCTCCCACTGCCCATCCCACACATTCCTTCTACTTGCAGCCTTCCACTCCACCATCCGTATGTCTGTCCTTACTGTACATTGTGCCTGCCCTCACTGTCTGCAGCACGTTCCCCAAATCCCATACTACTTACACATAGACTTCCTGCTGTTCACCACATGCTCCCCATTGCATCTCTTCTATTATAGCCATTCATCTTCTTCCCTTCCCTGCCTTATCCTACCCTACCATGCCATGCCCTTTGCCTGGACCCTCAGCATCACTTCCGCCTCATACACCCTGTGTCATATTCCGGCTAGCATCAGAGCACACAGTGAATGTCATTCAGGCAAGTGCATTTTGCTTGGGGATCACCTTGAAAGGGCAGGGTGTAAGGAATCTTCCCTTGTGAGGGCTGAACGCTTGCACAAAAACATAAAGACTTTCAGTACAATACCCCTCATTTCCTCCTCACATTACCTTTTATATGCCAGGATGTTTTCATCTCGAGTGATACAGTCATCTGCTCCAGCTGAAAAAAAATCCCAAGCAATCTTGGGTAGATACTTTTTAGCATAATCTTCAAAGTCTGAAAGACACACCATAGCCATTGCTGAGAGAGGCGCTGGGAACCTTGAAGAAAAGAAAAACGTGGAGCCGAAATTAGATCCCTGAACTGTCATTCTGTCTTCCAGGGGTTTTAATGTCACTTAATGCAAACCTTGGAGCCATCTGTCTTGTAGAAGGGTTGCTGAGAGGTTGTCTCAGGCTATTTTGCCATCCATCCTCTCCCCTAGTATGAGGAAAACTTGTGGATGAAGCCATAAGAGTAGGAAGAAGCTTGCGTCCCTGTGCCTATCTTTATTCTGTCATAAACAGAAGCCTGAAGAGGACATTTTAGGTCCTTTGCTATTTTAAGACAGAGCAATTGTATAATTCTGTCATAACTTCCATCATAAAGCTAGCTATTTGTTCCACTAATTGTACCCAAAGCTTGTCCCAGTCATTTGCTGGATTACCTCTTAGAATGGCTTCCTGACTGAACAATTACTTACGGAGCCCAAATAACTAAATTCAAGCTCATGAAATGTGGAAGCAAGTAAATACAGAGTCAACCTCTAACCTGCTCCAGTATGAACGCACTGTAAGACTATGTCCAGACTCGGGGTGCAAGTCACTGTCAAGGCCAATGCTGCAGAAAAACCAAAATATTTTCTACAGACCTTCATTTCTCGTCTGTAAGAAATAACCTTCTGGCTGTTTGCATTACATACTGGAGCACTGATTCATACTGAAAAAGGAGCATACAAAATTTGGACAAATTATGAGAAAACACTGGCAAAAAGCAACACGAAGCATGATTCTAAGAACTACCCTCAACCTTTCAGGGAACAGAAGTGACGTTGCATGACCCAGATGTCTAATCAAACCAACATAAATGCTGCCTAGCAAACGCCTGCACTTCCATATTTTTGAGCCAGACAGGACTGAAAGCTATGCAAATGAATGCTTTAGCAGACCATACCCCGGTGTGAGGAAACATGTACGAAGCACAGGCAAAATCAATTTGCTAAACCATTTGCTGCAATTACTTACGCAGCTCTAAATAAAACAGGTATTTTGCAAGGTATATGAAAACATGAAGTTTTAAACCAGCTGCGGTTTGGGTCTAATTTTTCTAAAAATGTACAGGAAGAAGTAAATATCTTAGTTTTCAGGATTAGCCTCCCACTGCAGATTAGCAGGGGTTGCAAGCCCCACTGACACCAGTCCCATGTGCCCGACGCTGTACGCTTCTGACACAGATGAACACGTAGGTTACGTACACAGATCCGACCTGTCCGACTGCAGGCACGGATACGTCTCACGGACTGAGACGCCTGTGTCCATCCTTGAAAACCAGAAATCATCATTCTTTGTTAGGAAAGTGCCAAAGCTGAGGAACTCATTGGAAGATGGAGTGTGACTGGTTTCTTCAGTGCTGTTTTGTCTCCTCTGACAGACACCAGGTAGAAGGCGGTTAAAATACCCCAAACCCTCTCTGTATGCCTTCAAGGCATCAAGCGCTGCTGATAGCACAAGTCTTTATAAATCATACATCATGATATACTGCAAACCACGTATCACAACTTCTGCTTTCCCAACTGTTAGAAAGGTCACAGCCAGCAAGCACAAAAAAAGAAACTGAGTCCTCTCATGGCAGAACAAACGGGAATTTTATACAACCCAGGTCCATCGTGTCCCAGTTCAGACTTACTTTGGGTTTCAGGGAGAGCTGCAGGAGGTGAGATCCTCTCCTTCACGTCTGCCTGCAAACAGGGCGTAGAGGAGGTCTTTTCACTGAGTAACTGCTGGTTTTAACAGAGTCAATAAGCAACCACCAGAGATTAAAGCTCAATCCTGCAGTAAACTTTGTACTGTTTGTACAACACTTTGTTTTGCTATCAGATGATTTTAAATTCCTCCCAAAAACATGGATCACCTTGTCAGCAACGCGGTTGCTTGGGACACAGCACTGGAGCTGTGCTCTTGGGCAGTGGCTGAAGGGAAGCAATAGTATTTCAGGGGGGTTGATTGAATCCCTAAACTGTCGGCAGCTCACTGCTGAATGTGCTACAAATCCCACCAAAATGATGATCCACAGACAGTAGGAGTGGTTACAGCCCACACAGACATATGAACAAGTAAAGTACCCTTTGTCTTCTGCCATTTTTAAAGGGCTATGAGTGTTGTCATGATCCAGTTGCTCTCCCACTGGGCTTGCAGATCTCCTCCTTTGGCTCCCAACCCAGCCACCTCCTAGGAGGACCATCGGTCCTCTCTTTTTCCAGTGCTTGGAGCTGGTCAGACTTCTCTGTGCTTCCCTCTGCTTCTCTTGCTAAGCATTACAAACTGAGACTGAGGTGCCAACAGATTTATGATATCGACTTAAATTTGCAAGATATGGAAAATAAACACTGGACATTTTTATTTGCTTTTTGGTTTTTCAAGCCTGTAAGGATCATGTTTTCAATATTTCCATTTAAACATGACAGCTTGAAACTTTGACTTTTACTAGCTGAAAATTGAGATATTTTTCTCATAACTATGTGATACCAGGTGCAAAGGGTGAGGTAGAAAGTCACGAAAACATTCCCAAAGTTTCACCAGTACTGTCGCCCTCCCAGCCCAGCCTGTGTTCATGAGACCTTGCCCAAATTCCACCGTGACAATCTATACCATCATCTTCTGAAACTCTAAAATTCAGCCGTCAGAGCTCATTACCCGCCGACAGCACCATGGGGCATGGTGCATCTCACCAACGAGACAAACACTCAGCCAGAGTGGAGGTCCTTGGCTCACTTTCCTGCCCAGGACCAGCCTTCAGGTCACTTCTGGAGAGCCAGGGGCCATCTCTGTCTGCAGGCAACGGAGCGCATCCCTGGGAAAGGCAGGAAAACCCTGCGCTCATTCTCCCTCCGCTAGATGTCAGCTTTGGGTCACATATATATCAATTTAAGTTGGTAATAACAACAACTGAAATCAGACTTCGATGGCCTCCCAGGCACTATGGATTTAAAACTGGTATCACCACATCACAAGAGTGCCCGCTATTATGTTTGGAAATCTTCGTTCCCTGTGTTTTGCTCTTAACATTTTCTGACGCACAGCTACATTCCGAGATGTAGCTACATCTGGCCTGATCTTCGTTTCAGTCTACGTTCAGTCTCTCTGCAGGGTCCTCTGTCAAATTTCTCATTACGCTGATCTCAGTGCGCCCCTACTTTAGGGATGTACATCACAGCTAATTCACTAAACCATAAAGTTTATGGTTTCGTGATCATCATCATTTTTAAATTAATTAAAAGTAGTCTGTGACTACTGTATTTTGGTTCAGGAGAGAGGAAAGATCTCTGCTGGTGTGCTGTGGCTTTTAAGAGAGTGTACTTTGCATCTAGATATATTGTCTTCCTTCAGCAATAGTCTCCTTTCAAAGTAGCAATGACTTCTTATCCCCTACGTAGTGTTTTCGCTGATACTGGTTAGACTTCTGATTTAGCTGTGGAACTCTAAAGGTCCAAGGAAATCAAAACTTGCCACGAAGTTTATTAGAGACGCTGCTATATAGTTGAAAAAGGTGGACAAGCTTTAAAGTTCTGAAGCTCTTCCACTGGAGTACAATAAAAGGCTCCCTAAAATCTTTGCAGGAAACTTTGCTGCCTTCTTTTGAGAAATGAAAAAAAATAACAACGGAAACAGTCACACAATCTGATCCAGCCTTGCAGGTAGAGCATCCAGCAGTCAACAGCCAAAGCTTCATTTTTGCATAGATCTGCACAGCTGGGGTTTTGCAGTTGCTTATTTATCAGTAATTACATAGTCAAAGGCTCATGAGTCCGAACACAAAGATCCTGTGTAAATCTGCGCTCCAGTTTCTGTTACAATCACAATGCTCATTACTCCAGTTGGTTATATTTGTTTGCTTTTCACAGACGGC